CGAAGAAATTCTATGATCGATCGAACTTGTTGAATTTCCACCACTTGCTTCCTTTTGCTTCCACTTTGCTCCTTTCTTTGATTCATCTCAAGATTGCTTCAATTATGCTCTTATTTGACTGAGTTAGCTTATTTTGGGGGATAAGTGTCTGAAAACGAAAATAATACAAAATCAATCTAAAGCAGGAAAATAAGATAGATAAAGGTTCTAGAATACCTAAGCTTAAAGGGTTTAAATGCGCACTTTTCAGCGCTCATCACACCCCCAAACTTAAATATTGCTAGTCCCTAGCAATGAACTAGAAAGTAAATGAATGAAATGAACAACTATACAACTATGAACTAAAAAGCAATAAAAGGATAACGCCATTTTCGTTGGGAACACGATTGCACTTAGCACATGCAACAAGCCTTTTAAACCCCTAGGTTACCCCTAGTGGACGAGTGAAGTCTCATTAGGGTTTCCAGAAATGATACCCACAAATATTAAGCTCATTCTCATAAAAGAGGCACCAATATTGCAAAAAGGCATTGGGAGAAAACTACATCAAGTATGCAATTTTTCAACCATTTCTAAGCAATCTCCCAAAATCTTAATATCAAGCAAGCAAGTAGGGTCCTCCACACATCAAGAAAATGGTCATGCAAATCAAAACAACTCTAGAATCCTTTTTGAGTGGACCGGCATCAAATATGTTGTAGACTTGGTTGATGGTCAATTGGCAGCTACAGTGCATCGATTTCATTATCATTTTCAATCTAAGACAGCTAAAGAAATGATCACATTCTTTCCCTCAAACTAGCACACAAATCTAGTACCGATCATCAAGATAAAGAGTGGACCTTTTTATTAAAGCTTTATTGATCTAGGTACGCTTATTCTTTCACTCAATTTTTTTTTTTTTTTAAGGGATCAAAGATGGAAGCATGGTGCAATGTGTTGATCTATTAAGCTTTCTAGCGATCCATGAGGTCGAGCATTATGTCAATGACTCCCAAATCGGACTGCTTTAAGGCATTAGGTGTTCAAACACCCCTAAGGACTTACAAGCACAAATCGACTAGGCTACAAATCAAGACATCCTCCATCTAATCATTTCCTACTTCTCACCTTTTGGGAGAAGTCCTCACTTTTTATTGTTTTTTGCAACTTTCTTCTTCTTCTTCTTTCTTTTTTTTTTTTTTTCTAAGTTATTAACCTACAGTTTGGGTCCTCCACCTTTCGGTGTGAGAAATTCAGTGCTTGATGAGGCTAAAATCCCGGCTACTTAGTGAAAACGAGGTTTTATCTACCTTTATCAAGAATGAAAGCTTTCAATGCACTACTAGTTCAATTGGGATATAACCAATTCAATAATCAACAAAGCATGTACCCCACAAATGAATGCTAGTGTACACCTATGCTAGTGTAGAATCCTAGAATGAATATCAAAACAATCACAAAATCAAGATGATGTGGACCACAAGTGCAAACATGATATCAATCTTTCAAAAAATTTACTCCTAAATGGCATCCACAAGGCATACAAGGAGTATTGCTCTCTTAAGTCAAGCAATTCTTAAATTCTAAGCAATATAATCCTCAAAAAATCAACATCATAACTAGTCATGGACTAATCATAGAAAATTCCTCAAATACACAAGTCATGCTTAAAATTTTGAATTTAAAGCAAACACTGCAAAGTACACTATTACCCCCAAACTTAAATGGCACAGTGTCCTCAATGTGCAAAGAGAATAAAGGGAAAGAGTATACCAGTGCAACTAAGGCAAAGAATTGTCGGGACAAACATATCCAAAGTGGGTGGTGTAACCCCTCCAAACTTGGGATTAACTGTGGTCCTGAAAAGATGGCACTGGAATAAAACTTATCAGATAACAAAAAGGATAATAACAATGCACAGTGGACATGCAAGTGTAAATAGGATAGTCAAATAAAATAGTGAGAGAGGTATAAGGGTGGTCCTAAAAATTTGGGCAGCACTCTCTCTCACTGAAATCACTAGGATACACCTGATAATGGAGTCGGTCATAGACAGATATATCAATAGAAGAATATGACATCCAAAAGATTATGCATAAAATAAGAAAACAGGAACAGTATATGGTACATCGCAGTAGCAGGGCCGACAGACCGGCTGCAAAAATAATATAACAGTAACAGAATATAGCAGTCAAATCACATATATATAAACTGAGAAGAAGATATGGAAAGATCAAGTGGAGGAGGAAGGACGAACAGGGCATGCTCCGTGGATATCTAGGGATATATCTTGCAATGCGGCTATGACATCTGTACGAAGTGAAGTAATGTCAGCTCGAATGACGACAACATCCGTGCGGATGGAGTCAGTATATACTCAAATGGAGACCACGGCATCCTCTAGAGCCTAAAGACGCTATCCAAAACTGGGTATCTGTACTGGAGCCTCAGGTGCAACTAGATCTAGAGAATGATGATCCTGAGCCTGTTCCTCTACATAAACGGGTGACCCAATCGGAGAATGATACTGTGGATCCTCTGCAGGATACTATTCTAAATCTATGTCCATATGTACGGCAGCCGGATCGACTGCTACATCGTCCGCTGCCGGCTCTGCCTCGGCTGCTGCTGCTGCCTCTGCCTCTGCCTCCATCTCCTCTCTATCTGCTGCCTCAATAACATCGTCCTGTAGGCTCTTGATAAGAGCCTTATAGCTCTTATCCCAGTCCTTCTTCTTGAACGAGCAGGCCCCAGACTCAGTATGCTCCCGTGGCTGGAAGGGATAGTGCTGGTCTCTTAGTATCTGTGTAATGAGATGGCTAAATGGGAGAAACTTTGCCCGTTTGGGCTTGGTTTTGCTGATGTAGTCTGCATAGAGCTTCATCATAACGCTCTAATACAGTGCCGGAATAGAGAGCCAATGCCCTGTGTAGAATGCATACAGAGCTATCAAAAAGTCTGAACGCCTCTAGATCTTATGGCCGGGCATAAAGACATTTTGGTACAAGACCGAATCGAAGAACGAAAGGTCGTCGGGCAGATAAGTCCGAGTGGCGAAAGTCTCGCCATCTGCATAGTGGCCAGTGAGTGCTACGGCCATGTTTGCGTAAGAAGGCCTCCTCAGAATAGGATAGGTACTCTGGAGATCGGGAGGGCAGACATGTGGACATCGGCAAGATCTGGCTAAAGTGTCCACTGTAATACTGATGGGGTGGTCGTCAATTGTAGTCCGCAGCTCCGCTAGGTTACCCGGGGCAGGTCGGAGGTTCTGGAAGAACCTAACTGCTGGCACTGAAATGGTCAATAAAAGGTTCCAAACTATGGTATCTTTTTTGCCTTATTTTCTTAGCAATTACTGATGAGATAAGGATCCAATTAATTATTGATCATATTAATGGTAGGTCCATGAATTGTGTGGTCATAGTGGCAAAGAGAAGCCACTACTTGTGAAAGTCCTGATGTTGCGGGCGTTTTAAATGTCGGATTTATTAGACTGGTTTTATGTGAAGCAAATACTGTTATCAATCTCATGTTCATTCACATAATATAGTCGAATTAATCTGACTTTAGGACATCATATCATTTTTCTAAATTAATACTAAAAAGTTCTAATATGAAATGTCAACTTAATGGGTCAATGTGTTAAAAGATGCATGAAAAAGAAAATCTAATTTAAACACCAATTTAAATATTAAGTAAAGCAAGATAGCCTTAAACAATAACATAATGGAAACATCTCATCGATAACAACGCCTTCAGTTCACCAATAAAAATTATTCCATTTGAAGTAATTGAATATGTAAAGCAATTGAATATATATATATAAGAGGATAATTACAACCAGGCCTTCAGCCAAAAACCGACCCAAAAGGGGATACAAGCCCAAATGGGGCAAACCCAGCCCAAAGAATTCAGCAACCCATTTACGTCCATCTTAGATAGCAGAAATAACGGCAATAAAACTGATACTGGAAGCTATCATATCACAATTTTCAATGAAATAGGTGAAACGAGTTGCATAACTGCAACTCAAGGAGATTAATCTGGAGGACGGGGAGGCGGACGACAACAAGAAGGCGGCAAGTTCTACTCATAGAGAATTTTCCGAGAGCTTGAGCAATCACGAAGAAAACCCAACTTCAGAATAGCTTTGATGGTGGAACAGACTCTGTTTGAGACTACCCTTGTGGATGATTTCTTCCCTTTGAAGATCCTTGCATTCCTCTCTTCCCATGTATGGTAAATCAATGTTGAGAGGCATATCTTCCGTAGTAGGTTGGATGCCGAATTTCTTTTCCATCGTGAGGAGAGCCAACGAATTAGGTTTTCCCAGTTAACATTTGGAGTGATTAGGTTGCATCTATCTTTGATAAATCTCCAAATAGGTGCGACAAACGGGCAATTGAAGAAAAGATGGTCATGGGATTCATGACTACTATTGCAAAGAACACAAACATTTTGATGATGTGCCATTGATTTAAAGTCAAGGGTAGGCAATCTGGACTGCACAGCAAGCCACATCTTGAATTTCATGCGAGGGATAGTTGGTGCCCTCCAAACCAAGTTGAACCAATGAACTGCTGGAGAGGGACCTGCAAGAAATAATGTTGTGTGTTTCAAGTTGTACTGATCAGAGTTGCAAGCAATCCAAGAGACCTTGTCATTCCTTAAGGAGCATGGTGGAGGCAGTAAAAGTAGCTCAGGGATTGCTAAGGACTCTAGAGAGAGGGAAACGTATTTATTCATTTATTTTTTATTTAACAAAAAAAAAAAACCACTAAATTTATTTACTCCCGAGTAACATAATTCAGACAATCCTATTCAACAGATGTCGCTCTCCCGCTTCGAGTGCGCTACGCACGCTCTCGCTCAAATTCTCACTGTTTATAACTTAAGTCTGTCGCTTTTACGGTCCCACTCTCAAATTCGCTCGCGCTTGATTTAAGGAGTAACTAAATTTTCTTTATTTTTAAGGTTGAAGTGTTAGTGGTGGAGCAGTTTTCATATTTGAGCTCTCATTTAAAGGTCCAGCTAATAATATGATAAATCAATTGTTTTAAAAGCACCTCGTTGAAATCATTCTCGCAAAATAGTGCAAAATCTGAATTTACATTAAAGTTGGAAAAGAACAGAAATACAAATCACCTGAAAGTTTGAAAAGAACAAAAGTAATAAAAAGTAACAGCAAAAACAAATGAAACAAAAATACGGATGATCAAAAGAAAATTAAAAATTAAAAATTAAAAATAAAAATTGAACCTCGTAGTTCAATCTTTAGACATGGACATATTAAAATTATTTGGAGGCAAATGGACTGAGACCCCACTCGCAGTATGTCCAGCTGGCACAATCATCACGGTCTATTGTAACACGAGCAATGGTGCAAAAACAGCGACTCCAATAGTCACCACCATTCCATGGACGGTGAGGCTAACTGTACCAGAGGTATCAACAGTAGTGGAGCTTGGAGGACTTTTTGCGGCCGGTGGCGTCTTCTCCGCCGGCTTCAGCGGTGCCTGTGCCTGTGCCTGTGCCGGTGCCAATGCCAGTGCTTTTGCTTTTGCTTTTCGTTTTGCTTTTTCCGGTGCCGGTGCCGGTGCCGGTGCCGCTGTTGGTACAGGAGTACCGAAAATGCTCCAAGGAAGAAGCACACTGTCCACCTGATACACGGCAAGACGGTTGGCCGTATAGACTGAGCCAGATATTGCAGTGCTCATAACGCCGGTGGAAATGTTCACAAGGTTGCCGTTGGTCGTCACGTTAAGCGGGAACTCACCTGGATCGCTGCCTCCAGCTTGTGTCCGCAATGGGTTGGTGGCAGTTTGAAACTGTGCTGGGGTGATAAAGGTAGGCAATATATGAAACTGCAATAGCTGGATCTGTTGTTGACCACTGAGAGAGTTGAGAGTGCCCTGTTTGAGGTTCGAAAACGCGGCATCGGTTGGTGCAAATACAGTTAGGCCATTGTTTGAGTCTTTGAGCTGGCCATTGATCTGGGAACCCACACTGGTACTTTTTAGAAGCCGTAGAAACAGCGTAAAGCGGCCATCCTTTTCGAGGATTTTCATGATGTTGGGGTGACCGGCCGTTGCCGGGGGCCCTGGCGTGAGGGGACCAGTAGGTCCGGGGGACGCTGGAGTCGGTACGGGGAGCACTGTCGGGGACGCTGCAGGGGACTGAGCTACGGTTGTGCAGAAATGGAAGTGGAATAGTATTGCAAGTGAGAGAGAGAAAAGAATTCGGTTCATCATTTTCTTGGTTTTTGGTGTGGCCTTGAAGTTGCTAAGAAATAGATATATAGAGATTAACTAAATTGAGGAGTGGCCTTGAGTTGGAGATGGGAAAGAGATGCAGAGATTGAGAGACTTTATAGAGAGAGTGGGAGGATAATATTAGGTGAAGTGCTTCCATTTTAGCAGAAAATCAGTTAGCATCCAAATGTGGTACGGTGGATATCATACAAGGTTGCATGCTTTTTTCATTTGATAATTAAGTATCAGTGCTAACAACCATTTTTTTTTTTTTTTTTAGGACTTTTAAAAAATATATATATTTTTAGGATGAAAATTTTTGTGGCAATCAAATCGACATTTATGCATAAGTCGAATAATATGTTTGATCTCTTCAAGCAGTTCTTTAATGATGCGGGTATACTGGAATAGAATAAAATGCAAGAGTCGAAGAAAATGAGAATTGAATAGATTAGTCATTCCCATGTTTAGTTACAAATATGAAATGATACAGTAATGGGAAGAAAAAATAATTTAGTGTTTGTTGGACTAATTTGAAATCTAAAATGGAATGATTTTCAAATTAATTCTCCAAAATACCCCTCTAAGTGACAAATAAATTAAATTAACAAAATAACATTCTTCTATAATTTTGTTAAAATAAATGGAGGCAGTCATGGTGATGCCAGCGGCGATCGATATAGATGGAAGGTGGCGGCAATAGTGGCCTTAATGGTGATAGTGGTGGTCACAATAGGCGACGGTGTGGTGGTTAAGGTGGTGGTAGTCGAAGGCACAATGGTGGCAATGGTGGAAGGCTATGGTGGTGGTGGAAGGCAGTGGAGTGGTGTTGACGGAAAGCGGTGGGGGTGATTTTTAGTCTTGGTGCATGAAGGTTTTTTTGAGAACTTGATTTTTTTTAAAAAAAAAATTATTGGTAATGGAATGGTCATTCCATATATAGGTTTAGTTGTAAAATTAATTTTCATTCTTTGGAATGATGGAATGGTCATTTGGACTTTAAATTTCATACCAAGCAAAGAAATAATTGGAATGGATTTTCATTCCTGCTTACCAAACTGAGCATAATTTGTCTATGATAATTTATTTATTTTTAGAAAAACTATACGTAGGGTTAGGAGTTCAAAATAACAAAATGGTCTATTTTAAAGTTTAATTTTCAATTTGATAGATTTAAACAAAATGATTACAAAATACATTAAGAATTATTGTTAAAGTCTCAAATACCCTCTTTGTAATCCGACTTGCTTTTTTGGTTGTCAAGAAATTAATATGCTTATTAAGGTGCTGCTTGTTTCTTTCTTTAATAAAATTGATTAATTATCTATATATATATATATCAAAAAAAGTTTTCCTAAATTATCTTTTCAAATTGATTTCATAAATATTTTTAGTGAGACCAAATTTACAAGATTATAAAATAAAATAGCAAAATAAAATAAACGTACCAATAAAAACCTATAATATTATTTTGCTAATAACACAAGGGGTACGTATATACCAATAGAAACCTATATTATTTTTCCAAGTAGGCCAACCCCTTGGGGTTAAAAATATTATACTTCATGAATTTAGATTTGTGATTTTATATCGAATTAGGTAGCTGCTTATTTAGCTGTTTTGTGAATTTTAAGAGCAATTTGTTTAATATAAGAAAGATCTTAATATAAGAAAGATAGAGAAAATAGCAAAACTTATCATTATAGAATCTAAACCCAAATATAACTCAATAACTTGAATTCAAATTTTTTTTTTTGAAAGGTAAACTTGAATTCAATTTTGCTAGTATATAATTCGATCATTTGGAAAACTTTCTATTAAATTTTCAAATAATTAAAACTAAAGTTACAATTTTTTATGATGAATGAGTAACCGCTTTATCGTGAATAAGAACCTAAATTAGATAATAAATATTCACTTAAACCTAACTTAAAACTTTTTATAATTGCATTTGATTTTGTATTTTCTTATTACGGTTAAACGTTAAAGAGATATCCAACAAAGATATAGAGAAGTTAAGAGAGTGCATAAGAGAAGAAATAATAAAAAATATTAGTAGATTGAAGTAAGATAGGAAGAGAAACATAGTGTAATTGTTTATTTTTTATTTTTTATTTTTTGAAAGTTTAATTTCAATTTATAGATATATACGAACAAAGTACAAGCCCAATAAGGTATCGAGCCCAAAGGTTACAAATATAATGACCAAGTGCAAAAAAGCCCAAAGGTTACAAATATAATGACCAAGTGCGAAAAAAGCCCAAGACCCCTTTACACCCAGCCCAAGACCCCTTTACAACATTTAAATGCTCTACAAGACCGTTATGCTCCTCCATTCAGTCCGGTGGTCGTGGGGATCAATTCCCAGCAGTAAGCCTCAAGCTTCGGTGCCTCTGATCAGGTGGTTTCGCTGGTAGACGTATAGCACTCTTGGGAAGCTCTCATTCTGATGCAACCCTACTAGCATTGTAGGAATCAGTGATTGGTGAGAGTAGGAGCTTAGATCGAATGAATTCAAGAGTGAGATGAAGGACTGAATTGGCTGATAGGTGCTTCTTCTGGAACATCCTTTAGTTGCACTCAATCCAAATGTTGTAAACCAGAGCTGACAAACATAATTTGGAAATTTTGCTACAATTTGTAAACCAGAGCTGACAAATGTTGTAATTGTTTGTTCTTACCTTTTACTTCAATTGCCAATTCGTTTAATTTGCTGGAATAGAAAACACAAATGCATAAAAGAATAAAGTGTAATATGTATTAAAATAGAGAACATTAGATCACATCTCGAACTAAAATTCATATGTTATAAAGTGTAGCACTCATTATTTTATTTTGACTTTTTTTTTTTATTTTTTTACCTCATATAAAAATTATTTTCTCTATTATTTTCTTACCTTATATAGAAATTATTTATTCCCACATATTTTCCTGCTAGTTATACCATGGTGAACAATGACTAGAGGCCAAAACATTTCCTCCAAACTTAATTTTATCTTGTTTTGAATCCAGTATTTTTTCTTTTTCTTTTTTATTAAAGAGCTATATCTAATATTTTGTAACCTTATCTACAAATATATAGCTAAGCTCATTGCATCTAAGCTCAACAGTGTTCTCCCCTTAATCATTAGCCCTTCACAAACTGCATTTGTTAAAAACAGACAGATTAGTGACAATATTTTGCTGCCACATGAACTCTTTAATGTTTATCATAAATTATCACATTCTACATGTTGTGCACTCCAAATAGACCTTAAGAAAGCTTTTGACAGCCTCCATTGGCAGTTTATTTTAGACACACTCCACTCGTTTGGCTTCCCTGACCAACTCATCCACTGAATTGCACAATGTATTTCCACCCCCTCTTTCTCCATCTCACTTAATAGGGAATTGTTTGGGGTTTTCAAAGGAAAAATAGGGATCAGGCAAGGGGTCCCCTCTCTCCATTACTCTTTGTGCTTGCTATGGAGGTTCTTACCTTGTCACTTAACAATGCCATCTCACAAAGCACGTGATTCAAGTACCATTGGAGATGTAGTAAACTCTCCATCTCTCCTTTAGCTTTTGCAAATGATATCATTATGTTCTCTCATGGGGATTTGGCTTCTATTGAGGTCTTGTTTACTACTTTGAATAATTTCCTCACAGCATCTGGTCTCTCCATTAACTGCACCAAAAGTCATGCCTTTTTTGCTGGGGTAGATGGTCCTACAAAAGCCTCTATCACAGCACTATTACAATTTGAAGTTGGTGTCCTGCCAATTACTTACTTAGGGCTCCCACTTTCATCATCAGCTATCAGTGCTTGAAGATTCAAGAACTTTTCTCTCTCTAAATTGACAGAGTTTCATTACACTTCAAAAATTTCGATCCCCTTTTTTCTTTCATTTTCCTCTATTTATAGATTGTTTACAATGTTCTAGAAGATCCCTAACTAACTTCTTCCATTAGACCCATCATCGAGGCCTTTGTATTCATTGATCCATTCGTCTTTCAAGCCTTCAGCTTCACTCTTCGGCATTGGGCTTGTCTCATGATAGCTTGATTTGGGCCCAGGCCATTTGCCTGACCCATTCTTCATCATGTGGGTTAGATCCGTCCCATGCCGTCTTTGGTATCCTCATCTGCCCCCATAATCACTCCCTTATTAATTAGGGTGTGATTATCAATAGACCTAATGATGACTTGACGGCTAATGATGATTCGACGGCTCAAGACGATCACGTGGGGCATCGAGCGGTTGGCCTTGGAATTAATGTCTTTGAAATTTGAATCTTCTTAACTCCCTGATGTCTCGGTTGACGGGACCACTTCCCCTTTATAAACCACGCCTCATATCCACATCTTCCCTTGTCGTACCCCCCACAAATCACTGTCAATCGATTTCAGTTTCTTCTCTCAAGGCAACCCAGATTTTTCTAGTCAATCCAGATACTCTCCGGCGAATCCAGTGAAAGGATCTTCATTAGGGATGGCAAAAATCCCCAACCCGGTGGGGAACAGCCCCGCCCCTGCCCCATTTAAAGCGGGTTTGGAGAACCGTTTACTTAAATGGGGTGGGGATGGGGGTTAAAAAAAAAAAAAACCAATCGGTTGCGGGGCGGGGGCGGGGGCGGGAGACTAAGATCCCCGCCCCAAACCCGCCCCCGCAACTGCCCCGTTTAATATGTTAAATTACTAATTTACCCACCCATGTTAATATATTTACCAAATTAACCTTTACTATATATATATATATATACATACATACATAAAATGGAAACCCTAGACTTCACTTCCATTTTGCTATTGAGGCGGACGTGTAACTCTAAGCTCTCTCTCAAACCCATCATTGAATATATGGGTTTTGACCTTCTGATTCTTGTAGATTTTGTAGTTTGCAGGAGAGAGATAAAGAGGGCAAGTTCAAAGAGGGCAAGTTCAGAGTTGAGAACGAGAATAGAGATGGGGGTGATTGGGGAGGCTGAAATATATGGGTTTTGACCTTCTGATTCTTGTAAATTTTGTAGCTTGCAGGTGCAGAAAGAGAGAGAGGGCAAGTTCAGAGTTGAGAACAAGAATAGAGATCGAGGCGACTGGGAAGGCTGAAATATATGGGTTTTGACCTTTTGATTCTTGTAGATTTTGTAGTTTACAGTTGTAGAGAGAGAGGGAG